CTCCCCGCTGAGGGCCGGACCCACGGGCAACCGCTTTGTGTGGGCTCCTTCACGGTCATTGCTCTTCGTCCCGTCACGGCTGAAAAGAGTCTGACACCAACATCGTGGCACCTGTCTAAGAGACATTTTAATGTATTAATGAGATCCCTTCTTAGACTTCTCCAGACTAAACAGGCCCAGCCCCTGCAGTCTCTCCTCATAAGAGATGTTCCAGACCCTCCATCCTCCTCATAGCCCGCTGCTGGACCCTCGCCAGTAGCTCCATGTCTTGCATTGACGAGCCCAGAACTGGACAGAGCACTGCAGAAGTGGCCTCGCTAGGGTAGAGGAGGTGGGGAGGATCACCTCCCTCAAACTGCTGGCCACACTTCCCACCCCACCCCAGGTTACCATTGGCCCTGCTGGAACAAGGAAAGCAGAGACAGCAAAGCTGTCCCTCTTTCCCACAGAGACCATCCTCCTCCAGCCTTTGCCCTGCCTCTCACAGGTGCCAGCCTGGGTAAGCACTGGTTCAGCATCACTTGTTCTGCAACAGCATTTTAAAAAAACCCCTCAAAACTCCACCCTAAACCAAAACAAATCCTCACCCTATGGGTTTGGATCTCCCAAACTGTCAAGAAAACATCACCCCATTTTTTAAGTGTCAGGTCTGTTTGATGTTTGAATTGATTCTGGGAATAATGTCCCTGTTTGGAGAGTGACCACCTCACATCAGGGAAAAGGGGAACTCTCAGGATGACAAAAATCATGTGAGATGAGGGTAAGTTCCCCTAAAAACCACACGAACACTAACTTGCAGTCACCAGCTTTCTGTAAAAAAGTTACAATATACACTCTTCTTGACATATTTATAACTTACTACATAATTCTGTGCTGAAACCATGCTAATGCTAATCACACAGCATTTCTGCCTCAGTATATACCAAAAGCAGTTTAGTTTGTCTAAGGAAAAAATGCCAGAATGGTGTTTTTATGAGCTTTTATGAGCTAATGGTAACTTTTCAGTTACCATTAACACCACCTACAGTTCACCTGAAACTGAGGTACATCTATCATCAATTGCTTATTCTCTCTCAATCAAAACTCACATTCATGTAAGAAATTTATTGTTTACAATAATTATGCCTACTTTACATATAAAATAGGCGTTTCAATAATTTCCATTATCATGTTTTGGTATAAAATATTTCAATAGTTAAAACAGAATGATTTTGATTTTTAGCTGCATAATATGATATGGGATGACAAATCTCGAAGTTGAGATACTCTTGTCCAAGTAATAATTTATAAAATGCATTTTTAGTTAATTGCCATAGTGAAAATATGCTTGGGGCATTCATTTATAAATGATACCTTTTAAGATTTTTTTTCTTAAGGCAGAGTGGATGATTTTAGAACAAATATTTTTATTTGGCATTGTGACTGTCTTGACTTAATCGAGCTGCAAACTCTACGAGTGTTCTTGTGGGCCGCCCTGCCATGCCCTTCCGAAGATATGGCACTTCATCTTTATTTGACATCACCCCAGCTATATCCAAATGGGCCCAGTGAGAGGCAGTCACAAATTCCTTCAGGAATGCAGCAGCTGTGCATGCTCCTCCAGCTCTGTGGGAAATACAAAGATGTATTGTTTCCAAAGCAATTCCAACAGCACACATATTAAA